TGTCCCCTCATTGTCCCCTCCGTGTCCCCTCATTGTCCCCTCACTGTCCCCTCCCTGTCCCCAGCCCCGTGACCGCGACTCCCCCGCCCGTCTCCCCGCTGGCCCCGAGGCTCTTCCCGAGAGGACCCCAAGGCCGGATCGTCCACGGGCCCGGGACCGACCCAAACCGCGGCGCCGACCGCGCCCCAAAGATTCGGGGCAGGCTCCGGGGGAGCCGCGGCGATCGCGCTCGGCACCGGCACAGGGCAGCGCGCCGCCGCCGCCGCCGCCGCCCGCGCACACCGTGACGCACGAGGGGTTCCTGCTGCGCAAACACGAGCTCGACGGCGCCGGCAAGAAGGCGTCCAACAGGTGTGGGGAGAGCGCGGCCATAGGGGGGGACTCCAAGGGTTGGGGTTCATGGGTGATCCAGGGAAATTTGGGGGTTCACCAAGAGTTGGGGGTTCATTTATGGAAGGGGCTCATCAAGAGTTGGGGGTTCATTGATGAAAGGGGTTCACCAAGAGTTGAGGGTTCTCCAAGGGTTGGGGTTCACCAAGAGTTGGGGTTCTCCAAGGGTTGGGGTTCACCAAGAGTTGAGGGTTCTCCAAGGGTTGGGGTTCACCAAGAGTTGGGGGTCCTCGAAGGGTTGTAGGTTCTTCGATGGAAAGGGTTGACCAAGAGTTGGGAGTTCATTGATGGAAGGGGTTCATCAAGACTTGAGGGTTCATTGATGGAAGGGGTTCACCAAGAGTTGGGGGTTCATTGATGGAAGGGGTTCATCAAGACTTGAGGGTTCACCAAGAGTTGGGGTTCACCAAGAGTTGAGGGTTCATTAAGGGTTGGGGTTCATCGATGGAAAGGGTTGACCAAGAGTTGGGGGTCCTCCAAGGGTTGAAGGTGCTCCAAGGGTTGGGGTTCATGGGTGATCCAGGGGAATTTGGGGGTTCACCAAGAGTTGGGGGTTCGTTGATGGAAGGGGCTCATCAAGAGTTGGGGGTTCTCCAAGGGTTGGGGTTCACCAAGAGTTGGGGGTCCTCCAAGGGTTGTAGGTTCTTCGATGGAAAGGGTTGACCAAGAGTTGGGGGTTCATTGATGGAAGGGGTTCACCAAGACTTGAGGGTTCACCAAGAGTTGGGGTTCACCAAGAGTTGAGGGTTCATTAAGGGTTGGGGCTCATCGATGGAAAGGGTTGACCAAGAGCTGAGGGGTCTCCAAGGGTTGTGGGTTCACCAAGAGTTGGGGTCCTCCAAGGGTTGAAGGTGCTCCAAGGGTTGGGGTTCATGGGTGATCCAGGGGAATTTGGGGGTTCAGCAAGAGTTGGGGGTTCACTGATGGAAGGGGCTCATCAAGAGTTGGGGTTTCATGAAGAGTTGGGGTTCATCAATGGAAAGGGTTGACCAAGAGTTGAGGGTTCACCAGAATTTGGGGGTTCCCCAAGAGTTGAGGGTTCCCCAAGAGTTGAGGTTCCCCAAAAGTTGAGGGTTCAACAAGAGTTGGGAGTCCATCAGAATTTGGAGGTTCCCCAAGAGTTGAGGGTTCACCAAAAGTTGGGATTCACCAAGAGTTGAGGGTTCACCAAGAATTGAGGGTTCCCCAAAAGTTGAGCTTCACCAAGAGTTGGAGTCCATCAGAATTTGGGGTTCACCAAAAGTTGGGCGTTCACCAAGAGTTGAGGTTCACCAAGAGTTGGAGTCCATCAGTGTTCCAGAATTTGGGGGTTCCCCAAGATTTGAGGTTCCCCAAGAGTTGAGGGTTCCCCAAGAGTTGGGAGTCCATCAGAATTTGGGGGTTC